CCTCGGCCCAGTATCTGTCTCGTTGGGAAGTAGATATATTGACCATCATTGTTCTTGCCATGTCTAGGAGAGTGCGATTTAGCCGTTCAGTACGACCGTTCGACTCAGGAGAGTACGGAGCAGTTACCTCGTGTATTATGCCAGGTGCACGAAACCAAGATAACAGTCGGGAACAAACGTATTCACCGCCACCATCAGACCGTAACCACTTCACTTTTCGACGGTTGAGCACAGGGAGACGACTTACTGTGTTGTTGAACAAAGACTGGAACTCAAGAATCATTTCTTGTAAAGTATCTGCTGCCTGATTCTTTCTCCGAAGGAACCGGACCATTGAAAACCCACTGTAGTCATCGATAGCAGTAACAAAGTACTGTGAGTTTGAAAAAGAACGGACACGCACTGCACCAACCATATCTGAATAGATACGGTCAAGTGCATTCAGAGCGTGGTTTTCAGAGCGTGTGTTGCGACTGTGTCGGCACGACTTCCCAAGCTTGCAGTTTTTGCAGCTTCTTGAAGGGTTGTTCTATCCGGTTGTTGGGATACCTTTCACAATCTTGCTTGATTTTGACAGTACTGCAGCACTGACATGCCCTAAGCGTCTGTGTCATGACAGGGGATCACCCCTGGTATCCGCGAAAAGGGCTGTGGCCCGTGCTTCTTTTGGAATATGAATGACGGCCTCGTATAGACCGGCTGTAGTATCGTAACCCACAAGCTTCCTTTTATTGTTTTTCGTGTCCTCAATAAATCAAAGGCCTTCCGAACTGCCGTCTTCGTCGAACACAGAACGGAAGCCCTTCTTCCGAATACAAGAGACAGATAGGAGATTATACAATATGTTGGGAACATATAGGACATCGCTGAATGTGATGGCTTGTTTCTTTCCATTAACGATAGCCAAAGCCACTACGGTGCCAATTTCTTTTGTATCGAGGAACTGTTTCTTACCAACTTGGACAGAGCAATCTTGGCTAACGAAAGCGGCGAAATTTGACCTATCATTGGTCATGTGTGCCGTGCAGGCGGAGTCTATCATCCATTTTGTGGAGCACTCATCTTTCTGACATACAACAAGGGCCTTCGAAACTGTCACCATGGCAGTATGAGCTGGGGGTGCCTTGTCGTTACCGTGTTTGTGGCCAGCATGGTGCGGCCTTCGATGGGAGTTCTTGCCACCATTTTTCATAAACGATTTTCTGTAGGACTGACTAGAGGGGTTATGAAAACACCTACCAGATGTATGACCGTGTCAACTACAATGTGAACAGTCATACTGTGATTTCGGTTGGTGACTGTTACTCCCATTGTTCATAACGAGAGCAGACTGCGTGCCTGGCTTTTTAATTGTCATTTCAGCAACGACCAGTTCTGAGAGTGCCTCTGAATATGCCTTGCCTGTAGCTCGAATCACTTGCGCAATAACTGAGAAACTAGAAGATAACCCACGAAGCAAAGCACGCTTCTTTTCTATGTCACTTACTTTGTGCCCAATTGCCAGCAACTCATTCGTCAATGTTTCGATTTTGTTCGAATATTCAAGGACTGATTCGCTAGTTTCCATCCCGATTTCCTGTAGGGCAGACAATTTGGCATCAATAGAGGCTTCAGAAACCATTTGATAAGTTTCTGTAAGCGTCTTCCACACCTCTTTGGGGTCACGCAATCGGAGGACAGAAGGCTTACAGGCGGGACTTATAGACATCATAATGTGTGCCAAAGCCATATATCGGTTTTGCTCATGGATTGTAAGCTTTTCTTCATCCGTAGGAGCAACAGCAGTCCCTTCAACATGTTTCCAAATACCTTTACCACGCAGCATAATTTCCATTTCATTTGACCACAGATAGTAGTTTTGTGGGCCCAGGCGGTCGATGCGAAAGAACGAAGAATCAAGCTTGTCGTTTGACATTGACATTGTGGACCAGGGAAAAAACGAGAGAACAAATGGAAATTTTCAGCTATAGGCCCATAACCTATTACAGAGAATGCAGAGCAAGGTTGACCGTGGAGATTTGATACTGTTCTGACTTTACTGCAATAGGTCAGAGTACGTGTTATATAGACATATTAAACCACTTAAACTACCATAAGAGGGTACTTGACTTAGATGGATGAAAGGGGGCTCAGCTTGACTCAAGTGGAGTCAGCTGTCTCCCTTTCAAGTATAGCCTAAGGTACTTCATTTCCGAATACGGTAACAATATAGCGCTTTACGGTCCTGTTTTGGCGCCCTAAAGGTACTGTACTTTATGGTATTTCGCGTATGTATGCCAGTTTCGCGCGACTTTGCGGAGCTAACTCCAAAACCGTGTCCACGTACAACTGGCGGGCTCTACAAATGTTTATTTCTTGATGTCCTGGTACTGTACGGGGGGCGATGCTTTAGAAGGGCAATCGGAGGTGTTGTTTACGTGGTGGTCGATGGGTGTATTTATTGCAATAAATACAACCCATTGACGAAACTGCATGCAGTTTCGCGCACTGTACCTATATCATCCCCCGCCCGAAACATGAATCAGTGCTCTAACTTGGGTCTAACTCAGTGCTCTAACTTGGATCTAACTTTTGAATAAATGTTTGATGAACATGACGTTATGATACAACTATTTCCATTGATGAGCGTTTCTATGGGAACGCGTTGGACTACGCGCCCTGCCGATCTGATTTTTGAATTCGGAGCATCGTTCCATTTGACCGCCCATTATCGTACCTCAGCTCACTATCACAAGAGCACTACCCCCCTATTTGGTCCCTCAGAGCAACTCTCAAGTCCCTATCGTAGCCTCACCATTCTCAATACCCTCAACACACTCTCGCAACATGGTGCACCACGGCCCGCGCTTTGCCCACCTCCCCACGGCTACCAAACTCACGTGTCTCAGGTCTGCACGGACCGCTGTGACCATAAAAAAATAAGCATTCGTGCCTCCGCTCGCTTGCATCGCATTCCCTATTCTTCCTTGCAGCGGTTTCTCAATGCCAATGACGCACCATCCCCTCAAGGCCGACCCCCGGCTCTCAATGCCCGTGAGGAAAAAATTATCCTCGACTCCGCGCTGGACTTCGCGCGAAACGGAACGCCATTGTCTCGTGAATGTAATAAAGATTTAGTTCAGCACTTTGTTGAGCGACTTCCACAAGAACGCATGGAAACGATTCTTTTTCGGAATCTGCGCCCAGGTGACAGGTTTCTATAATGCTTTTTACGACGAAATCCAGAGTTGTCCATGAAAAGACGTTGCAATTTAGAGAGCGACCGCGCTGTCGCCATGTCACCGTCAAATTTAGCAGAACACTTCGCTCGTCTTGAGCAAGTGTATCGGGAATTTCAGGTAACAACTGGGTCTCAAATTTTCAATTTAGACGAGTCCGGCTTCTCTACAGGAACAGCTTTCAGAGCGAGAGCGAAGGCTGCGATGGAGAGCAGGGGTGGAATAATTCCATTGAAATGAAGTGGTCGGGAAATGCTTCCCACGTAACGATTATGCCAGTCGTTTCGGCAGACGGACGCAGCTGGACACCGATAGCATACCCGGAAAGCGAGCCAAGTACCGAGTACGACCCGACGGGACTCGGGAGACGCCCGCATGTTATCTCCCAGGAAATGCCCTTGTTGCCTATAGAGATCCCGTGGGAATGGACTCCCAGATCTTCTTGCGGTTTTGCGAGAATTTTGTCTCTGAGACAAAAGTGTTACGCAAAAGACATAGGAATCTAATTTTTGACGATGGACGGATATGGGGCCCATACCTCATACAAAGCCCTTTCGCTTTTGCGAGAGAACAAAATCCATGTAGTGGCTCTTCCCGCTCACACAAGCCACCGGACCCAGACACTGGACTACTCAGTTTTTCCCCGTTCAAAACCTATCTACGTAATGCCCTGAATGACAGATCATTGATTGCTACTGCTGAAATTCGGAACGACATATACACTTATGTGAATTACCGCACTCTGCATATAGTAAGTCCGTTACATACACAAATATTGTCAATGGGTTTAAGGGTTGTGGTGTGTGGTGCGCTGTACGGAAGAGGGCTATTCCTGAAGTCATTCGCTGTGGGGACATCACCAACTGTGGAGCGTATGGGTCGAGGGAGGAATCATTTGAGGCTTTTAAAGAATTGCCGGAGAGCTTTTTGTCGTCTCGAAATTTATTGAGAAGTCATGGGGCGGTTCTAGAAAACGGGACTTTAAATACTAGGGCTGGGGCTTTATTAACCACTGACGGTGTATTGCAAATTTTACTAGTACGGGAAGCAACTAGAGCAGCAGAGCAGGAGCAGAGGACTGCCCACCAGGCGAAAGCTGTCTCTCGGCGAGCAGCCTGTGAAGAAAAGACTGCAGATCGGGTTCGTGTGGGGGAGGACACTCGCCGAGCACAAATCAATCATACAGTTTGGATTCGAAACCGTGGGATGAGAGAGGCTACGCGTGCACAATCTCGCGGCTTTTGGAGGTGGGCCGCACGTCAGCGTGCACTGTGCACACCGAGAGTGCCCTAAAACTTTGAAGTATAATTAATGATTGTATGATAAACTGTGATTCATACATAGGGCAGGGAGAGAGCCCTGATCGGTTACCTAGCCAATAGCTGTCGAGGACGGCACGGGCAATCTGTTTGACGTTGATAAGCGCCGTTTTGACATAAGATACGAAATGTACTGGTTGACCTGTTGGAAAAAAGTGGAGCGCATGGCTAACTAGAAGATGTTTTTCATTAAATTTAAAAGATTGACCCAGATTAAGGGGGGGCTGATACTGTGTACAGTGTGCGAAATTGAAATAAATACACCCATCGAAAAGAGGTGACCACGCACTTCCCGAACAACACGTGTCCAACTGCCACGTCTCTAGCACAATCACGCGTCACTAAAACGCCTATCAAGTCAAATTAGTGGCAAGTGCAACCAAAATCAAACTATCTTTAAAAAACAAGGCCAAATTGCTATAAATACACGAAATTCCATATGATACAGAACATAAAAGAGCCTTTAATACTTCGTAGCATCGCCGCGAGCATCCATCACTGCATTCATGCGACGTGGGAGACTCTTGTGAAGCCTGAGTAAAGGGTCGGACCCTACTGTAGCCCAAGCCTCTTCGATGGCTACCTTCAAGTCCTCAATGTTATCGAATTGCTTACCGCGCGCGTAGACGGTCCTAGCCATGACACCCCAGACGTTTTCTATAATGTTGATGTCGGGAGACTTAGCCGGCCACGGAAGCGTAGTAATAGAGCGTTCGGCGAGGCACTGTTTGGTCAAATGAGAGGTATGAATTGGAGCATTATCTTGTTGAAAGCTCCAATTCTGCCCCTCCCCAAACACTTCAGCAGCAAGCGGTAGTAGTCCATCCCTCAGCACCTCGCAGTACTTAGTAAAATCCTGACGGCCATCCATAAATATTAGCGGTGGCACTCCATACATACTAATAGCCCCCCACATCATGACCGAAAAGCCCCCATCTGCCGCTTAGGAAATATGCGCTCCTTGGTCCTTAAGTCATGCCAATACGATGCCAGTCCGTCTGGTCCATCTCCATTAAACTTTTCTTCATCACTGAAAATGACTCTGTTCCAAAACCCTTTTCCTTTTCTGATGTATCTTCGACACCACTTGACCCTATTTTCTTTATGCGTAGCAGCCATTTGTGGTGCCGTTACCATCTTTTTATATATATTAGATACGGTACCGCGCTAAGAATTTTCTGAGCGCGTCTGTTTCCAATCGGGAGTTTTGGCTCAGCTTGAATGGTCCTGGCGCTATCTTCTCTCTGTAAAGCCATACGATCCATAGCTCGCTTTTGCGTGTCTGAGACTTTTTGATTCTCTTTCCACTTTTTAGGCGCTTTTCGCTTAAAACCTTGACGCAAAACCGCTTGAACGGCCCCTCGGAACGATTTACTATCTCGGCAATCCTTCTAAAAGACACATATTCGCTGTGAAGAGCAAGGATTTGACCGCTCTCCAGTTCGGTGATGGCAGCTCCTCGAGGCATTGCGCGCCTTGTTCGAGCTAGTGAGGCAGTTGAAAGTATGGAAGGGAACCGCAGACAGTCTACTGCAATCGATTATATTGTGTTTTAAAGCATAACCTTTCTGCTTTGGCGCGACAAAACTACTGTACTATATGGAATTTCGCGTATTTATGCCTATTTCGTTCGGTTTTATATAGGTAACTTATCAATTGTAGCGCTGACGGGCCCCTATCAGCTCCCCCTCTATTTCGAACCAAAATCAACATTTAAATTAAAGAAGTACTTCCAGTGCTCCAAATGAGCTCAAACTTGGACAGAGGGTTGGACCCTGCCGATGGAGACACATACCTAAGATTCCGATGCTGTATCAAAACGGCACCACAACTGTAGTAAACGCCCTCATTGGCTTAAGCCATCTCAAGGAGCTATCCTACACCGAATTTCGAACCACTGCGCATTGTAGTACAATTCCGTACCACAACCCCCCGGGGAGATGATAACCGCGCGGGAGGGCGGGTGCTACTGTAGCGAGCAGGCGTACACGCGCCCGCCGCCGTGCACAGTAGTACCCCAAGGGTCCGACGTGGGACGGCCAGTAACAGCGGGCGTGGCCACGGGTAACACGTGGCACAACCGTTAGCCGGGATCGTGACCACGGGCACACGTGTATAATCCGTACGGTAGCTAACTAGTAATTAGTAGTTAATGGCACAAATTAGCCAATTTAGCACAGTAGCTGGTATACAGTAAGTAACAGCTACTGTAGCGGGACAGGTGTCCTGGCGTCCCACTTAGGGGTTAAGACCGGGGGCACCTGCCCCGTTCCAGTAAACGGGAGGCAGACTCGCCTCCCTTCCCTTTACGGCTAATTGCTATCCCGTTCCGGTTTCCCTTTTAGTCTCAGGCTTCTAACCCGTAACCGGCCGTCCGGATCTAACACCACTGACCGGCTGCGCGTCACCGGCCACGTGAGCCTTCCCTCTTTTCGAGTCCTTCCGTACGGTTTGCGTTCGCGCGTGGGTTACCCAGCGGCGCGGGCTCCCTTACCTCTAACCGCCCTCGTTTCCGAGCGGTCAGGACGAAGGTAGTTATACCACACGCATCAAAAAATTGTATTTGCTTTTAGTTTTTTCGTGGTTACCCAGGTAACCGGATTGCACGCTGTCGTGCAAGAGACCTCCTCCCCCCTTGGGATATCTGCCGTTGCATCTCATGCTCACCCCTCTCCGACATCCACAATACCCGCGCGATTCGTGCTTCTTCCGCCGCGTCCCTCGCCGAAATGCGCTCCTCGGCCTCCCGCTCCGGCTGAAATCGACGTTTCTTTGCCGCTGCATCTCTCTCCACACGAGCCCAGGACGCGGCATCACGCGCCGTTTCCCTCTCCAATAACTCCTTCAATACATCGTCGCTAGTCAGCAGTGCCCCACCCTTCGTATTCAATTGAATACGAAGGGTGGGGCACTGCTGACTGGAACGTTAACGTTCCATTCTGCATAACGGGACCATCGGACCGCAATAAATTTCTAGTGGTCCTGTAGCTCGTACAAAGATCTAAAAAAAGGACTAAATGACTCCTTCCTAGTGGCATAGCCGTCCGTGTTAGTGATGTCTGTTATCTTAATAACTTCCGGAATAGCCCTGCGTCGCACTGCGAACTGTGGTACAACGACCGATCCGCGGTCGGTGTACAGTAGGAGCGGCCGCGCGCAGCGAGCACGGGGCACCGTGGCCCACGTGTAATACGTATGATTACCGAACGGGCGCAGCAAGTGACAGGTGTACGCTTGGGTACACGTGTAGTGTAAGGAACCGTGTGGGGATAATGCGCGCGCAGTGTAATGCAAGCGCGTAGTGTGAGGATCCGTGCGGTAGTGTAATGACGGCGCTAGATTTTCAATCGCGTACAGTACCTGGTCCACAGTAAGTGACAGGTACTGTATTGGACAGGTGTCCCGGGCGTCCCTCTGAGGGGTTAAGACCTGGACACCGTCCTCGCAGTAAACACGGGGGGCAGACTTGCCCCCCTCCCTTTCGCGTCTACGTACTGCCGTTTCGGTATTCTCTCGCGCGTTGGCTTCTAACCCGTTACCGGTCGTCTCCGATCTAGCACCTCGGGACGACTGCGCGTAACCGGCCAGTGTGCCACTCCCTTTTCGCAAGTCCGACCGTTCGGTAACAGCGCGCCGCGCGTCTCGCGTCGCGAGCTCCCTCGGCTCATCCTCCGAGCCTCTCGCCCGCTAGGGTTTGAGGAGAGTTGTACCACATTTTGGTACTCTTGTGGAGGGGTACAACTCTCGAGGTAGAGCCGCGCGCCTTGACGCCCGCTCTGCGCAGAACCGTACGGACGGAAAAGGTTGAGAAATCACCGCGTCGATCGCGAAGCGTATTCGACGATGAACCGACCGGATCAAGGGGCAGACTCCGCCTCCGGGCGTCTGAGCACCTGCAGTGGCAGTGGCGCACCGCGCCCCCGGGTGGAGAACCCGGAAGCCCTGCTGCGACCGCCACCGCGACCGGGCCGCACGCGAGCGTCCGCATCGGATGTTACGCCGGCCGGGTCGGCAGGCACTGAGAATCGCGTCCAATGGATGGTCGACGCGATTCAGCCGCGCATCCAGGCCTGGGTCGAGGAGTTCCTCGCTACGGAACTCCCCCAGGTAGCGCGCGTATGCCTCGACCGAACGGTGCCCGCTCTCGTGGACGCGCACGTACGCAGCGCGATACCACCGCTTTTGGACGAACTTCTACCCGCTCAAGTCCAATGCGAGGTGGTGACCGCGCTCACCACTGTGGATGAAGAATCCCCGTCCGGCACGGCTCTAAAGGGAGCGATCAGCTCCGCCGTGGCCAATCGTCTGGCCACGACCTTCGCCGGAGCAGGAGTCGACGCACGCGAGCAGCGCGACTCAACCGCTCCGGATTCTACGCTAACGCACGCTGAACCGATCGGCGCCGCACCCGGGATCGGTACAATGGCCCCTCACCCGGAGGGTAAGACCATTTACCTCCCACCAATTTATGGTGCTACAGGAGGGCCCACAGAAACTTCGCGACAGAAAAGCGACAGCCGTATCGGTCGAGCAGAAGAAGCGCACCCGGCGCTCAAGGCTACACCTCGGAGGGTACAGAAAACCCCTCCGAGGAAGAAGACACAAGACGTCGCCACAAGGCGACGCGCAAGAACCGCGACGGACGCTACGCGCGATACCGCAAGACGTCGCCACAGGGCGACGCGCAAGAACCGCGACGGACGCTACGCGCGATACCGCGATGCCGGGGGGGTCGGTTACCCCTCCGATGATAACCGCGACGGACGCTACACGCGATACCGCGATGCCGGAGGAGGTGGATACCCCTCCGATGACGAGGACACCGAGTCGGACGGATCGCGCAGAAGCGACCGCAGAGGCCGCAATGCGCGCGACCGACGTCGGTTCCGGCGAGAAGACTCCGATCCGGAGGGCTACAGTAGCCCCGGCGGAGAAGGAGACCGCCATCGCAGGGGCAGAGACCGCCGGTCTGCCCCGAGGCGGGATCCGAAACGGTTGCCGGTGATCAGGCCGCTGAACGACCTGTTCACCAAGGCCGTCGACTACCGCACGTATAGGCTGGAAAATCGCAGCGCGCGCTACGACGCGAGTACCGCGCGGCGAGTTAACCGATATCGGAAGAAGTTGGACGTCCAGCTGAAAACCCACACGTTCGGTGGTCAAGATCCAATCGCGGTGCTAGGATTCCTCGCGCGCTTCAAGATGGCCTGCGACCACAATGGGGTCAGCGAAGGCGCGGCCGTATGGTGTTTCCAGTTCTATTTGACTGGGCAGGCTCACCCCTTGCTCCAGTCCAGGCTACACGGGAACACCATGGCGGTCGATGCGGAGCAGCGCGATATGCTCGAAACCTACGCGGAAGTTATTAATTTTTTATTGCGCACGTACGCGACCGACGAAGTTATTTCCGAAGCGGTCGGTGATGTCACCTCCTTCCGTCAGAGCTCTAATATGACGGAGGAGGTGTACAGTAACCAGTTGTGGGACAAGGCGTTGCGCTGCAGAACCGTATTTTCGGACAGGCGCCTGAAGTCCCTTTTTGTTGAGGGACTTCTGCCAGCGACGTGCGCGCAGGTGCGGAATTATCTCGTGACGCATCCGGGCGTGGACTACCAAGCGGTGGCACGCTACGCGCAAGCGATAGGCGAGACGCACCGCTCGGCTCGAAGACAGGCGACCTCCTTCGCGTCGCCTCAAGCACCGTCCGACTCGGTGAGAAGATTCACGCGCAACGCGCGGACAAGGCCCGTGCTGTCGGTCGAGTCCCTGTCTGAACTTCCGACAGCACGCGGAACCGAAACGGAGGAGATACTGGCGGTGACGGACCAGTCGGCGACGCCGAGCTCGCTTAGCTCGCCGCCGACTAGCTACCATCCGTCACCTGCCTCGTCCCCGGCGGGCGCGCCGATGGCGCCCGCC